CGGTACCTGACGCTGATTGCTTATACAATCACATGGAAGCCGCGTGACAGGCCAGCCAGTCCCTCTTCAGACAGTGACCGGGCCTGGCTGCGCGCTCTCAATCAGGTCCTAGCGGGAATTGAGCCGACGCAACATACCATTCTCTCCACACTCACGCTCCTGTCCAACTCGCTACTGTCAGGGCAATCACTGCCGCCCTTCATGCAACTTCCGAGACCGAATGAGCTCACCCGCAAGCTCCTCCACCTCAAGGGCCCTGACCCAGAGCCGCGGACCATGCAAAGAAGAGGCAGTGAGCTTGAGCACAGGCTTGTCACGGTGCACACCCGCACAGGATCTGAAGTGCGCCCCTCAGGTCGGAAGCCTAGCGTGGTGGGGTCAGTGGTGGAGTCGCCGACGAGCGATACTTCAACGATTGGGGGTATGCCCGAGTTATCGGAGATGGTCAGCCCTCTTGGCAGCGGAAGTATTCTCGACGTAAGGAACGTAGAGCAACACGGATATACTGAGTTCGCGGTGCTACAGGTTTGCAGCTCGCTTGTGTGCGATGACTTGGAGGGCTTGGTACGGTCTGTGAGCAGTTTGGTTGGTGTTGTGGACTTTAGCTTCAGGATCAATCCAAGTGAGGCGACGCTGACGAGCAGTGATGAGGACGGTGCTAGAGGAAAAGGCAAACGAGATTAAATAATACCCAGGACCTAGGTTGAAGATACGGAGATATACCAAAAGGCGAATTGAGACAGATATAATAAGAGTTGTTACCATGAGCATTCAAATGGATCTGATGATTTGCTCACACATGCTGTGAATCACGGCCGCTTGAGCAAAGTGAGGGAGGAACTTGGAGTGTACGTGTGATATTACTAGCACTAGCTCAATGACCATTCAATAACTCAGAACCGGTCACGTTTATGAAGTTTACAAAGAAAAAAGCTGTTGCCAGGTCGAAATCTTATGCCCACGATCCTGCCAACGATCACCATGTCAGGTCTCAACGCAGATGACGCCGCTGCCGCTACTATTCACTCGGTGACCCGACTTGCGAGTGGTACTCGTCGTAGTAGTCTTGGTTCCAGATCGGCTCATTTCATGCATCTGCGCACTCATTCTCTCCTCCAACCTCTCCATCGCCCTGCATTTCTCCTCGAATCTCACCACAGCCTCGTCGCGCTCGCGATCGGCCGTGTTGCGAGCGGTGATGGCAGTCTCCTTCTGCTCCCTCGCCTCGCGGAGCATGATACGCATAGCCGAGATCTCGTACTCGTAGCTGGAGCTTCCCTCCTCAATCTCGGTGATGCTCTCATAGGCCTCCTCGTACTTGACCTCCCACTCATGGCACTTGGCCTTGAGGGCGCCGCACCTGCTGTTGAGCGTCTCGACCTCAATCTTGAGCACAGCCGAGGCGGACTGGTGACTCTCGATCTCGATCTGGAGCTTCTCGATCTGCTTCCTGCAGTCACCCAGGTCGCAGTCGAGGCGCTCGATGCGTTCCGTCTTGGTATGGATTTCCTCTTGCGACTTCTTCAGAATGCTCTCAGTGTGGCTGAGGGTCTCCTGCACAAGCAGAAGCTGGCGATGGTTCTCGTTGGCGCGACCGACGGCACGCTCGCCCTCGTCCTTGAGGCGCTTCTTCTCGATGATGAGAATACGAAGCTCTTCCGTCTTCTTCGTGATGGTTTCCCGCAGTTCGGTGCATGAAATCTCGATACGAGAGATCTCTTCGCGGAGGGAAATGATCTCACGGTCGCAGTGCTCCCACTTGAGTTTCCACTTACCGCAGTGGTCTTCGGCCGCCTCCCACCGGCAGTGCTCTTCCTCAAGCTCACGCTTGAGTCTGATGATGTACTGCTCGAGCTCTTCCTTTTCGTTCCGAATCTTGATGATGATCTCCTCCTTCTCGTTCTTGATTCTAGTGATGGCTTCTTCCTTCTCACTCTTGACCTTAGTGATGGCCTCCTCCTTTTCGTTCTTGACTCTAATGACAGTGTCCTGCTGCTCCTTGACTTCAGACTTCTTCTTCTCGTACATTTCTTCAATCTCCTTGTACTTCCGCTTGAGCTCATCATACTTGTGATCGCACTTCCGGATGTGGTCCTCAAGCTCACCCCGCCTGTGGAGCCACTCGTGCTTCTCCTCCTTGAGTATGAGGTGGCTCTTTCTAATGTCTACAAGCTCCTTGTGACTCGACTCAAACTTGGTAGTGATCTCCTCGTGCTTGGAGGTCAGCTCGGTGAGCTTCAGGTCCATGTCCGCACGCTCGCCTCGCAACTTGCCACACTGATCCTCAAGATCGGCACGGGCTGCTGTAGTGGCCACTAAGGTGAGTCTCGTCTGCTCAGAGGTCTTCTTCAGCTCTTCGTGTTCTTTCTTGATGTAGGTGTAGGTATCCTTGGCTTCGGCGATCTCGTGTCGGAGCGTCTTGCACTCGTTGTCTCGTGCAGATAGCTCCAACTTGAACTTAGAAGCACTATTGATGGCTGCAGTGAGCTCCAGGCGCACCTTGACAAGCTCTTGCTTGTGGCCCTCATGCTCGTGGTTGTGGTGACTGTGCTCCCTCTCCTTGCGCTCCATGACCTCGGTCAATTCCTCGTAGCGCTCAGTCATGCGATGCATCTCAGAGTAAACAGACTCGCGCTCGGTGATGATCTTGCTCCAGACTTCGCGCAACGACATGCTTCGCCTCGACATGCTAGACATGAGTTCCTGGAGCGCCGCGAACTCAAGCTCTGCCTGGCGGGTGAGCTCCTTCGACACTTCGGAACTGAAGCTGGAGCTGTGGGAGCTTGAATGGAACTCATTGCTATAGGAACGACGGCTGACGCGACGCTTAGTAGTATACGCGCTCCTGACGGACCCAGTAGGACTGCTTGTACGAGGAGATGTTGCGGATGGGTAAGACGGGAGAAGACGAGGTCGGCTTCGTTCGTTGATGGTGAGACCCGACATCTCGCTTGTCAGCAAATCCGATTCGCCGGGAGTGATCGGCGTAGGGATGTCAACGTCCACTCCCAAGTGTGTTTGGGAGTGGTCGTGGTTGTGGTCGTGAGTCGTCGCCATGTTGCCGTGCAGTCCAAAGTGTGAAGCAAGTGTAGAATCCAAAGACTGATAGAAGCCCTCGGCCATGGGGTAAGGGAAATATCAACAAATTGATCGAGCCGGATATAGGCAGGCGAAAACGCACATGCGACGCGGGACTTTTAAGGCCTTGAACTCGCCGGGCAGGCTCGTCCGTCACCTCAGCTTCTGCTAATCTCAAAGAATGGTCATCGATACCGCGCGTATGGGCATGATCAGCTAAACTTTCGTTCCTAAGAGGCTGAGACACAGCTGAAGTATGGCTGACGTCCAAAAGCAGCACCGAACCAAACTAGCAAGATCCCAATTTCTGTCCATTTCCTCCCAAAGAAGCCTACCGGCAAGAACGATGGCTTTCGATAGCGATGAAGCAGCATTCGCAGCTTCGTGATCTGCAGGGTGCCCGAGACCTGATGTGGTTGTTGAGAGAAACTAGGCGATGTCGGTAAACGCCAGGGTCCTCATGCTTGCATCCCTAGCTGTCGTAGCTGAGCCAGCCACAGACAGCCCTCCCGCGTCGGCCGAAGAGTGTAGATGTGTCCGATTGGCTTCTACATGACGACCTAAAATGGCGAAGGAGGTGATTTCGAGACATATCCCGCGCGCAGGGCACAGGTTACCTCAAATGGCATGGTCATTGTTTCTGTCACGTTAACTCATAAAAACTCCTCGCTTAGAATAGGGACGAATCTACCGAGCCATAGGTACGTCCGAAAGCGGTCACATCTTTCCCCGCGTGGAGTTCATCTCGACTTTGAGAGTCACTGCCGAGTGCCGGTGTCGCAGGCGTCTCCCCGCAGAAGACTTAATATCTAAGGCAGAAACATTTCCGTTTCTTGCCCAATTATCGTTGGGCTGGTAAACTGTGCTTGACTGTTAGATGTGGAGTCTTCGGTACCATTGGTCAGGTTCCAGCATTTTCACCTGAGACCCTGACTGCATTCAGCTCCCAGACCCGACAGCTTGTGTGAAACAGTTTGACTGAGCACAGCGGAGCAACTTTCACAGACAACATTCTCCGAGCCCCTTATTTCGCAAGAAAATAAGATCAGCATTGGTGACGGCCATCATTTCTCAAATGCGCAATCTCTGACGCGTTCCATGCACCAAGAGTGAACGGCTAGATGGCGATCATCGCGTTCTTGAATGGAGCCGGTGAAGCAAAATGAAAGCACACTCTTTAAGACATAACACCTCAACAATCTCGGGTGTCTTGGTATATTTTGTTTTCATATCTGTCAGAGTCTATGAACACCTTTGTCTGGGCTACAAATTCTTCCGCAGTAGATGAGATGGGCAATCCTAGAAGATGGCGCCTTGTTTTCACCGGTGCAAACTGGCTAAATGCACGACAAGCCAATGGGACCTTGTAAAGATTGTCTGCAGCAACTATGCTGAGAACAATTCATGGGGGTCTTGTTCTATTGTAGGCGGCCAAGTTGCTGCAGAAAACCAGGCGTTATGGGTGTTGTGGAGGGTGGGCATTGACTAGGTCACTATTATGGGAGTGATATGAGCCACAGCTTTTCGTGTGACAACAGCTGAAAGCTAGCTGCCCACTGATGCAGACGCCACAAATGTGAATACCCAGCCTTTTTCGGCCGGAGTACCATATAATGCCGGAGTGTCCGTCTGAACAACACCTGCTGATAAAGCTGACCATTTTCAGAACGCCCGCTGTTTCCAAGTTGTGAACTTCATCGCTCTCGACAAGGGTACAGACAACCCGTGCACGAATGATGAATACGGTGGGTCTACTAGGAACAATCACAGCCTCTGACAGATATCTTGAGGAAAAATGCCTCATTTATGACTGTAATTGTTCAAATGCTGCCTCGTGGTTGAGTAGGCGTCCCTAGGTATACTATCTGAGAGCTTTTAGGGCACTCTGCGCCAACCATCTCTTCCCTCGTGGATATTCGCACTCATGCCTTGTCGCACTTGAGTCTCCAGCTGCTCTGCGGCGAACAGACGACTGCACCATTGAACTTCAGAGTCGTCTTCGCCTGGCTGCTTCGTGCGTGGTTGTAAGTGATCCAAATACCATTCTGCGCAATGTTCCTGCCATCTGTCGATTTGCAGGCGGTGTTGACCTCATTCCACCATCCGGCCTTGAGCTGCAGCTCGTCTCTACGGTTCTCCATGGCCCACTTGAGGTCTCCGAAGCTCAGGTCATTTCCAGTCCAGAGACCGGAGCACAGCAGACGCTGGGCCTTGGTTGTAGCGCCAATATCTGCAGGCGCAGGCTCAGCAATTGCCTCCGGTGTAGGTGCAGCGAAAGCGCTGGCTGCGAGGAAGAGGATGGCTTGGAACTTCATTATTGCCGTCTTGGTGCCTTATGGGTATGTTTTTATAAAGAATTTGGCGTGGAGTTTTAGGGAGATGAAGGGCTGATTTTTGATTGTTGGACGGTATTATGAGAAGCTTTAATAGTTCCAATGACAAAGAGTTGCAGCCTCGAAAATCATAGATGTCACGCCAAATCGTTGATTCAAGTCCTTGCACACGATGACTTCAAGGCGACTGCCCGGCCATGGTAATTTCCATCGATAGCATCCAAGAACACGCTATGCCTTACATGTTGTACATGACTTGTACCGGCGGGTCGACGTTCAACCCAACTGAGTCCCTGATTTGCTCACTTGTCCGTAGGAGCCCACTACAGCGAAGCATCCCGCCGGTGAACGGATGTCGGCAGGGTAAATTTCGCGAACGATGATCAACAGCTTGATTTGGTGACCTCAATTCTAGCGGCCATCCCGTATACACAAAAATCACGGAGTAGTCCGCGTATTCAGGTACACATGATTCAGTACAAGACAAGCAAAAGGTCCAAAGCTCTAACAGGTTGGACGTTAGAACAGGGCTTTACGAAAGCGAGTTATTCGGCTCCGAACCTTTGTAAACTGGGACTCGGGCCAACGAACAGTCCGCCAATACAATTAAGGCGCTTGAACCACGCAGGGTTTACAAAGCTTAAATGATTAAACACCGCTGCAATCTTCGCTAGCTGTTCGTATTACACACGAAATGGTTGGCGCATATTGGGGAAGAGAGATTAAATGTGAATGATCTGTTGATTGCGAGACGGAGCTATCCTGAGAAATTGGCTAGCTCTTCCACGTTCGGGATGTTTCTCCTCTACCTAACATGAAGTAGGTACATTAAAATCATCAACGTCTGGACCTTCACTCGAAAGGAAGTTTCAGTGTTATGGTATGGAACATCACAATCCGCCGACATGAGTCAATCGTATTTCAGCTCCGGGCTAAATGTTGGAATTTAGTTGAGCAGAAATTGAATAAGACTAGAACAGAAGTCCCCGACTCACGATTCCGGAAAATTACTTGGGTTCAGGCTAGTAACGGGAAACTCGGATAACCGGGTACCGCAAGTCATGCGGTGGGCGACTTTGGAAACAAAGGAGCGCGGTTATCACCAGAACTTCATCATCTCTAGCCGTTCAAGTGAGTTGGAACATCTGGGTATTATGCGGTAGGTCATATCAAAGACGACGTAGTCGATCTTGTGTAGACGGTAGAATCTCTGAGCCCATTGTTCGTTAGAGTTCCCCAATTACAAACTCTGTTACCTGTTTCCTGATCCCTGTACATATGCTTTTCCACACGCAATCATTCATAGTTGCTATGAATTGAGAACCGCCACGTCTCATATCGCAGTGCTTCCGCTGCGGCAGGCCTTGGTCTCCCACTGCTATGCTAACCACAGCGACCTTATCTCCTGTCAATTAATATGCTGGAGACTTTATGATCATTCTTGGTCTAGCCTAGTACGGTGAGGTGAGCTGTTGATATGTGGATCGATGATGCGTGTCAAACAGTCGTGGGTACCAGTGAGGACGTTAGCTCAACTTCTAATCATGACATCTCACCATTTGTACCGAGGTTCGAGTATCATCTCAACCAAATAGACAATACACTACTTGCTATCTTAGACCTTTTGCCATTCTCTCAGAGCCTCGACTGAGCCTCCTCTGCTAGACAAGTCTCAACTCAATTCACGGTTTGCTGTACGTAGACTTCACAAGCACACGTGGTTGCCTAAGAACTCCCCTTTTCACGGAGCCAAGTCTCATATTGGACAAGACACATTTCGGACACAATATACCACTATATTCTCATTCTCTCACCAAGATTCCAAGCCGTTCCGAATATCCATCATCTTCAGGAACGTTCCTTCGCACCGCGTCTTGATGTCTTGACACAAGAGCCAGCGCCGCAACAAAGCGGGAAACTTCGGCGGCAATCATGCTGTTGTCGTTATCGTCTCCATAGAAATCCCTGGAGGCGTAGTCTGGCATCGCATAGAACTTGCTACCGTTCTCATCAAAAACCTGTTGGCCATGGTCGGAATACAACCAGGTTCCCAAGACACGCATTGCATGATTTTGCATGACCGTTTGCTTTCGGCGCAAGCGGCCATCAATGAGCCACAACTTTGAATCTCTACGTCCCCTCAGACACCTCGAGGCTTGCACCAATGAGTCATACTCATTGAAACGGTTCTTCGAAAGCCCCATGAATGACAGTTGTTGTCTGAAGCGTTGTCTGGTAAGTTGGTGGTGGTTATTCCAATCTGTGATCCTTTCATACCGTAGGAGTTCCTCTACGGTCCATGTGGGATCGAATCCGATTGCGATATGTCTGACTCCTACGAGTCCATTCTCCTTTGAGAAAAAGGGCAACTCTTGGCACAACGGCATGAAGTCTGGGAAGGAACGGATGGATTGCAAGACAAACAAGTCTGATTCGGGGAAAACAGATAACCACTGATTTCTCTTCCCGTCGCTGATTTTGAAGATGGCAGAATCGTTTGACGGGAAACGAATTCTCCTCTGAGGAGCTCCTCGGGTGGGATTATACCTACGGTGCATAGCTACGCGGGACTCTTTGCAGGCAGTCCAAAGGCCTCCGTCGATAGCGTACGATGAACGATTTCCGGCAGTCCAAGAAGGCGTAGTCATGTCTTCGGTTGAGAGTGGCGCAGCTAGTACCTGCTTTTGACCCTCCCTGACTCTTTCAACAAGGTGGTTTTGTTCGAATATCTCGGTCTTCGTAGATAAGGAGACGATGGGAATTTCTACCACTGAGAAGTAGTGGACGCCTCGACGGCCGTGAGGTCGAACGGCGTTCTTCCAAATCATATCTCTAATCTCGCGTGGGAGGCGTGGAAAGCGGGGGAAATCAAGGTTAGACATCGTAGAATGATAATGAATGAATAACGCAGCAGATTAGAAAGACAATGCGCTGTGGAAAGTTTGTTGGAGGAGAGCCCAGGTTTCGCGTAGTTGACAAATATGTGTAATAGCTGGTCTAGCTGAATGGGAAGAGAGATGTGTTGAAGAAGATTGGAATAGTCTGAAAAGGAACCAGCTTCTTACGTATCATGTTTAACATCTATCTCCGAAAGACAGCGTGATAAAGCACTGGAATAGTAATAGCCGGAGATATGATCACTCGGGAGAAGGACTTTGCCATCTCCGCCACGAACAATGCCGCTATCACGTGGATCAATGTCCATTGAGGTATTGAAAATATCGTTCCCATTTGTTTGGTTCCAGAGAACTCCTGAAGTCTTTGCTTCGTTAGCCTGAACAATGCCGAAGTCTGCCCTTGCTTCTTCAATGACATACTAGAAGAAAAACTTCGGTACAGGATTTCATGCCAGAACGGAGACCTGCATGCAACATGCCGCGACGTAAACTGGATGTCGTGGTTCAGAATCTAGCATCTCCAACAATCTGCGTTGCTAGGGTAAATAATGCGAGATGTAATCCTCATCAGTAGTCGTAAGCGATTAAGGTTACCAAGAACCGCCCGGGTAGGCCGCAAAGGTCGAGGCGGCATCTCACGACAACACACTTTTTACCTCAAATAGGTCATTCATCCTGGAGTTTTCGAGGCCAGAAACTGTCTAGTCAAGCCGTAAGACTGCCTGCTGCCGAGAAATCACAGCTGTCTTGTTTACCGGACAGCGACGTCAAAGGTCTCACATGAGACCCGCCTATCGAGTCGATCACTGGGCGCTCCGGTCAAAGTGAACCCCCAACTGACGCCCTGCAAACGTGGATGGAGATGACGACATTAATATCCATGCATAATCCCTCTGTTTGTGATATCCTATCTACTTCTCTCCCTTCCGAGAGGCGGGAGATGGCGCCACAGCCTCGGCGCACAACCTCTCACGAGCCCGGAAGATTTGCGTTGAGTGACCAATATCTCCCGGATGTGTCAAACACGTCAAACGTACCACAGCCGCAAGTTTCCGATCTTCTTAAATCGCATGTCGCAATGGTATATTTACATCCCCCTCCAGCCGTGGGTTCTTGCTCTTCAAGGACAATATTTCTGCGAGCCAAGATCAAGTCAGAAAAACAAAGGCTTTATAACAATACACAGCCCTACGCACAATTGAAGTCATACTTTTGAGGAGAGGCAAACATAACAACAATGATAGAACTGCCAAAAATCACCTTAGACACGACCCTCACAGACCTCTACCGCCGCGCAAGCCCTCGAAATGCAGACAAACGTATCGCCCAAGTCTTCTGTCTCGTCAACTCCAGCTCAGAACTCACCCCCAACGTGCCACGCAATGCAAAATACCTCTACCAAGACAGCCCCTTCAACGCAGTTCCACGAGATCCATCCAGCAGCAGACTGCCAGCTGATGATGACGGAAGACAGCAGCAGCGCGCACTGGCTGTGAAGTACCTCTCGCTGATCCCGCAACGAGACGCCTTCATCAGCGGCAACACAGCCGTCGTCCTCTTCCACACCATGAACTCGAAGAAACGAAATTTGCACGATATACGCGAGACGGAAACGACGCTCTCTGTGCTATCCAAGACCCAACGTCCAGATCTTACCTTCTGCCCCGGGCCCTCCGAAATCCCCGTTGAAGAAGCCGGCATCGATCTGATTGCCTGTAAATTTGTTCTCGACGTGCTCGAATCATATAGTAACCTCATCTTCCCCCCTGAGACACACTGGTTTCTCAACTCCAAGGCTGCGCTAGCACTATCAGGCCTTCCTACCCCGAAAACAAACATTCTCAAGGTCGATGGCTTGGCTGGTGATGCGTGGGCATGCTGTTCTTCCTGCAGCAGCGTAGATGCAGCAGATTTCATCATCCCGGAATCCTGCACAGGAAGCCGGGGCAGATGGTTGAAGGAGCAAAGCGACAAGATCTACGCGGATCTCGAGTCTCAACCCCTGCCGTTTGTCCTCAAGAACCAGCAGACCTTGGGCGGTGCGGGGACGTATATCATCAACACCGAGAATAAGCGTCAAAAGCTGGTACAGGACTTTAGGAACGGCGTCCTTCGCAAGCTGCTTTCTGCAGTGACGGAGTCAAACGCTCATCTCCAGCCCGCAGCTCTGATCGTCTCTGATGTGGTTGAGGATCCTGTAGAAAACTATGGCTTGACGTTCTTCGTCACAGACGATGGTAATGAGCCGATTTTCCTGGCTGCATCGGAGCAGATGACAGATGGCGATAGCGCGTGGATCGGGAGCACCATTAACTACCGCCGTCAAGAACAGCTGGAGAAGAAGTTTGGGCTGTTGGTCAAAAGGGTTGCGACCTGGCTGAGAGGATATGGGTACGTCGGACCAGCGGGAGCTGATGTCCTGGAAACAACATCGTCAACGGCACCGTACTCTAAGACTAATGGTGTGGCGAACGGAGCTTCCACCACCATCTCTCATTCAGTGAATGGTGCCTCCGACTTCTCCGACTTCCACATCGTCGACCTCAACGTCAGAACATCAGGGTCAATGTGCCTACCCCTCCTACGAACTCACTTCACCACCTGCGGCCTTTGGAGCGCATCCTCCTTCTCCATCAGCTACAAAGACTCCCGCGACGCCTTCATCGAGTCCTTCCGGAGTGAATTCGAGACAGGGAGGATGTGCGTGATCAGCTGGTACGATGATACGGACACGGGCTGTGGCCTGGCTGATGTGGCAGTCGGTGCCGAGGATGTGGATGAGTTGCGTACGGCAATGAAGAGAGTTCGAGATTTGACGGAGCAGGTGACCTTCTAGTGTTCGTGTATAAGCAAGTGAGAAAGTGGAAGAGCTGTGGTAGGTACATTCTGACTTACGAGGCCTGAGAATGTTCTCTCAGATAGACCACGAACAATACCCTAGACAGAGGAACTTGGCCGGTACGAATCAGGCGAAGCTTTGCGAGCACGTGAGAAAGTAATATGGAATGATATTCACGAGCTTGAGCTCAACTGAAACTGTATCTTGACCACGCCCGTCCCACCCCAAAGTAAGGCCAGCGTAAAGAGATGATGCCTGACTCGCCGTGCCCACCCCATTCATAAACACCCAATAGGTACGCCGACTCCCGAAACCTGCCGACGAACACGCTTTGCCGGCCCTTTTGCTTCTCATCATGCCAACTACCAGTAAGGTTACTTGGTAGGTATACTATACAAACGCTGCATCTTCGTTATTAGACCAGACTTTTCATCCTTCAGCCTATCCCTTATGCCTCAATCTCCATTGCACCGTCACTCTCGAGATTGAGGTCGAGGACACGAGCATACTGGATGGTCAGTCGTTGGAGTTCCCTGAATTTACCTGAGCGATTATTAGCCTGGCTACCTCATGAAGAGTGAACCATCGAATCAACTTACCGAGAATCATGACAACGCCCTTCAGGAGCTCCTTACGGTCCCAGCCACATATCTCGTCCTCCTGGCTAAACCAACCTCGGCCTCCCTCGCTCGGCTTCTCGTCCGTGTCTCTCAAGATACCGCCAAGCAAGCTGTTAAGGAGCTCTTCAACCTTGCCTCGATGACCCTCGGCACCAAGACGCTTCGCATACATGAACAAGTAGAGGCGGAACTCGTCCCTTGCATCCAGGTGTAGAGCCGCGGCAATGCGGTTTTCAAGGTGAGCAATACTCACCGTTGATTCAAAGCCCTCAAAGCCGTCTTTTGTCAGCAACATTTTGACAATGCGCTGCAAGGTGTAGGCGCGACCCTTCAGAAGGAACTCATTCGTCGTGTGCCTTTCGAGGTAGGGAATGATGCCGGCGGAAACGTTGGCCGTACTGTCATCCTTGGGCTTCGCGGGCGTGACGGGTCCAACGGCAGTCGACTGCAGAGCGCCAATGGATGAGTCGTTGCTGTTCCAGTACTGGGAGCCAACAGCCCACCAGGCTTCGCTTACCCGCTGCCATGTGAACATGTCCCGGGTGTAGCAGTAGCCGTCTCCGTTGGTCAGCGTCACCACAATGTGGCCCGCCGAGTTCAGTTGAGCTGATGTGATGCCGGGACCTGGTGTTGTTGTATTGAGGTTGAGCGATGTTGTCGCGAGTTCGAGGACGGGGCCTAGTGATACTGGGGGATGCAGAGCTGCTTGCCTTTGTAGGTCCCAGACGTGGCACAAGCCGACAGCGTTGATGCAAAGCAAATAATTATTGCGACATTCGAGGATGACTGGTTGGGATTCCATGATGATTGGGTTCATCAATCGTCGTCCAGCGGGTGTCCAGGTGTAGATACTGCCATCTTCGCATGCCACTGCCCAGAAGTTCTTGTTGCCAGTGACAAGAATGACTGCTCTCGGCAGGTAGTCCTGCCAAAGAAGCGTCCCACGCTTGGTGGCAGAAATGAATGAGGGGTCCCTGATTTGAGCAGGGTTTCGGGCCTCAAGAATGATGTTTTCGGGCACCTTGGAGGCGTCATCTGTGCTGCTTTCCGGGAGCAAGACCCCCCGTTCGAGCGGCCTCACAATCTGAGATCTGACTTTGGGTACAGCCAGTCGAATTTGCGCAAAGGCAATCGATGGGTTCAACACCGCAGGCCTGAGATACTCGGGTGTGGGTACAACGCCGTAAGCAGCCGGCACGACCGAAGCTGGCTCGACGCCATCGACGCCGTTCAGTACCACAGGCGTTGGCCCCGTTGCCTGCCGCTTTGATGCGGGATCCTCTTCGTCCTCGCCCTCGATGACTGGGGTCTTGCGCTTATTTCCGAGCAGCATGGCAGCAACGCCGCCTTTGGGAAGACCCTCGAATGGTCTTTCGAGGTCTAGAATGGTCTGAGGTGTATCGTTCTGTGCAGCCTTCGACGTCGAGGTTGAGCCGACTAGCTGGGTTTGAGGGAGAGACGATTGGCCGGTGCCGGATGAGGATACAAGGAGAGGCGCAACACGTTTCCTACCGTCCTTGCCAACCGTCACCCGGGACTTGAGCTCCTTGACTCTCTCCCCCGACTTATCGCCATTCTCTTCTGCAGGCTTCTCTCTCTCTTTCTCTGGCTCGACATTGCCATTCGTGGGCCTCGGCGTTGATGTGCCCGTGGCTGTCCCATTGCCAACCGGTTTGGTGCCGTTGGTCGCAGGCGTTGCTGCTTTGGAGGAACCCGGGTCACCCATCAAGGCGCCCATCCTTGACTCTGCAGCTCGAGACTCGCCAGCTTTACTTTGATTCTCCAGGTTCAGACCTTCTATGTCCTCTGCAATACCCATGCCTTTCCTTGACGCGCCGTACTTCTGAAGAGCCTTGTCATTTTCGCCAGCGTCCGCAACCCAGCCAAGCTCCCCGTGATCCAACGAGATTCCGAGGAGTGTGCCGTCTAAGCTGGCGGCGAAAATGGTAGTTCCGTCGGGTGACCAGGCCAAGTCAGAGATGGATTTGCTGGCTACATCCTGAAGAATGACGACAGGTCGTGAGGTGTTCGTGTTCCAGATACTCAGGGTCTTGTCTTGGCCTGCTGAGGCTATAACAGTGACCAAGGCATTGTTGTCTGGCTGCTCCGCCGGGTTCTCCGTATGAAACAGGCGTGGCGAGAACATGCAGACCTCAGTCGGCCCTTCGTGGCCGATTAGGTTGATCTCACTGTCCCATCGTGTTCGTTCAATTATCGCGACTGAGCTGACAGGACCATTGACGGCGTTTGGAGCGGCAATGTGGTTCCCATCAGGAGACCAGGAGCATCGCCGAAAGTATGTAGTCAACGGTGAACTCTTAAAGGGCCCGCTGATTGTTTGCTCCAGCACAAAGTTGTTAACCATATCATGTTGCGTCGCATTCGGTGCAGGTGGCGTGAAACGAAAGATTTTGATTGTTCGATCGTCGCTGGCGGTCGCGAAGAACTTATTTGCAGGGTCGAACGTGATGCCTTTTACGTGACTTGAGTGGACGGTTATGGTCTTGAGCTTCTCGAAGCTATGGCCCGACCAGACCACAATCTTAGAGTCCAAGCCAACCGACACCAGTATGGAGGAATCGTAGGACCAGGCAAGGTCCTGAACATCGTTCTCGTGTCCGACGAGTCGCTTGTACGTCTTCCAGTTCTCGACCGGTGGGGGTTCGGCGCCAAGTCCTGTAACATTGCATTAGCATCCGTCACGTCGAGGGCATAGCGCATTGGGTTTCGGCAGGAGCGCATTACCAAAGGAAGCGACCGGAGGGTTCTTGTCAAGATGGTAGACGCAAATAAGCTTGTCATCGGCACCTGATGCGAGATATCGACCATTTGGAGAGAAGCGAACAGAATGGATGGTGCCGAGGTGATGGCTCATGTGGCAGAGCTGTCTCGGCTTGCCTTCTGCGTCACCATTCGCATCGCCATAGATGGCCTCGGTTGACCACACTCTGACATGGCCATCGCCTCCAGCGGTCGCGAGTCGTTTCCCATCGGAGGATACGTGACAGCTGTACACCTCGAAGTCCTTCTGCTCGCCGGAGTGGCTCAGCCACGTAGGCTTAATGACGCGCATCGCGAAGGGCCCCCAGTGTCATTTAGATCCGGTCCACGGTCGGAGAGGAGGGTCTGTAAGAGAATGCGACGTCGATCGGGGTGTTGCTGAGCTTCTCGTCGATGAGTAAGGCGTTGCGATTGATGCGCCACGATGTGGTTAGTGATAGTGAAGCTGGGGAAACTTAAAGCTGAATACGCAAAAAATGGCGACAAACCAAACAGGTGGGCACAAATTGGGGTTGATTGAATCCCAAGAAAACGCGTTTTGCGGAGCTCGGACGCCCTGGAATTCGCGTCCAAAGCTCCTGCTGCTGCGTGCGCTAAATGAACGGCCAATTGACACCAAAACTAAGTACAAAGGTACGTGAGTACGTCCCGTCTTGAGCTGCTGCACAGACCACCTTCCCGGTCTCACATAGGCTCGGGACGGATTAATGACCCTCCTCAATGTACGTTACCTCTACTGCATAAGAAGGAGCGAAGGGTGAAAGATGAGGTAATCGCCTTCCTTCCTCTCAACTCCCCGGAGCCGGACAATTGTGGTGGAGCATCTTGCCGGCGCTGCCGCGGAGCGGAGTCGGCTCGCAATTCCTCCTCGAGGATCCACATTTCCGTGATAATTAGCCCAAAATCGGTCTTTCTGTTCATCCATCTTTATCTTCATCTCTTTACCTTAGGATTCTGGTCGGCGAAAGATGCCACGGCAAGACCATAACAAATCAAGCTGACAAAATTTGCTCGATTCCCCTTATCCAGTGGTAACGTTATCAACGTTATCCATCATTCATGACTGAAATGTTCCGTTTAGAAACGACATAGCCTCAAATCTTTAATAATTTTATAAAGATGAACGAATTGGTATCTTCCCTCATGTGCTTCCTATTGCATACTTGTATCACGCTCTTCTTCTTGCATACTTAAAAAAAGCTACCGCCAAATCCAACATGAGTTCACACGAGAAGAAGATCTTGGTCGTCCTGGGCGCTACTGGAAACCAAGGCGGATCGGTAGTTCAAACATTCCTGAACGACACAACTTTGTCCAGCCATTGGCACGTACGAGGTGTAACTCGAAACCCATCCTCTGAGTCCGCGGCCAAATTATCAAGGCTTGGAGCGGAAATGGTCTCTGCCTCCCTCGGCTCCGTTTCGGAGCTCAAGTCAGCTTTCGAAGACACAACGGCGATTTTTGCAGTGACGGACTTCTGGAGTGCGATCAAGACCGAAGAGGTGAAACACAGAGTCCAAAGCGAAGAAATTGACATCGCGATTGCTACTCAGGATCTAGAAGAGACTTGGGGCAGAAATATCGCAACAGCGGCAG